TTTTCTTAACTGACACATTAAGAAGTTTTGCCAAACAAGTTGAAAAATGCATGTGACTCTTGCCCTGTAGCATATGGTAAATGTTTTGTTCTCACTTCATACATCACACCGCTCCTTAGAAAGGGTGTGGCATGACACAGCTCTAATATTACACATCTGAGACATTCCACCTTTAAAAATATGAAAACAGTCCCTATCATTTCTTCAACATTTTTCCTGTCTTGAGTTTGACAGTTCAGTTTGAATTCCAGCCTCATAGTTATTTTTAAGACTTAGGCTATAATTTACTTACCATAAAATCTCTAGTCCTGCAGAACAGAAAGTATACAAGAGACCACCTCATGAGTGATTTATTCTACCTGACTTTGATTGTCTTGAAAAGCTGCCAACTTTGCTTTTTATGCCTTCAGTGCCTCGAGTGAGAATTCATTACAGCACCTGCTGTTTTGAATGGCATATGATGGTAGGGCAGAATTCAGACCACCAACAGTGTCCAACAAACAAGTGTTCAAAAAGGGCTGCAGAGTATTTGATTTTTAGTTCAAAATGCAAGGGTTAACTAATGAACTTGACTAACCTAATTTTTGTTATAACACCACTAAGCTTTATTGCACAGAAATAAAGCAATTTGGCCTTGGCAGGGATTCAGTGTTTGATCCTGTAATTGTAAAATATTGTTGATAAAAACAACTTGAGAAGGCAAAAAAAATGTTTAAAATATAAAATTCTCCTTCAGGAAGATGTTAATTCACATGTAAGTGTATCCACAAAAGTTCATTATCAACTAGAGGCCATTTAAGAGTTTAAAATATTGCAGAGGCACAATATTGTTGAAGATTCTTTCAAACAATTTCCAGATGGATTTTTGAGAAATATATGAGCAAATAAAAAACGATTAGGGCAAATTATAGCCTAAATATAAGAAGATATAGTTGTGTGAAATATTTAAAACAGCTAAAAAGTGTTCACTAAAGATAAAATAAGGAAATAAACTATATCACACTCGTAACTTAGACTGTTGACATTAGAAACTTGCAAACAGTTCAGGAATCAAAATTTTAAAATAAATAGGACTAAGAAAATGATATTCTGGGAGCTGTGACAAATTCATTATCAGAGCTGCATGTCAGTCAGCATTTGTTTCTGTTAGCAGATGCCTGAGAAAAATAGCTGAAAGAAGGAAAGATTTATTTTGGCTCAAGGTTTCCGAGGTTTCTGTCCACGGTTGTCTGGTTCCATTTCTGTGGACTGAATCGAAGCAGAACATCATGGCAGAAAGGTGTGGTAGATCAAAGCTGCTCACCACAGGACGTCTGAAAATAGAGAAAGGAGGGAAGAATCAGAGAGAAACAGGGCAGGCACGAGGCAGATGGCTCAGAGGCAGCCCCCAGGGACCCATTTCCTTGACAGGGCTCTGCCTGGTCAAGGCCTCCTCACCGATGATGTTCTGAGTGGATGACTAGGTTGAGAACGGTAGTGCTGTCCCGCTCCAGTCTCTTCTCTAGGCCCCATCTGCGAACATCACTGCGTCGGGGTTCAGGCCCTCACTACGTGAGTCTTTGGGGACACTTCATATTTAAATCATAACAAGTTGTAAACGTCCTATTTGAAACAGTAAATACGTTCTTCTCAGTGTATTTAGATTTGTGGTGATTTTTAGTTTGTTTTGAACACAACTACCACAATAAGCTTCCAGAGATAGCCTTTTCATTAATCAACCTGCTAGTCAACTGCCAAGTGTCTTCATTTGTCCTACAAATATGGGGTCTCTGGTCTTTCCTGGTTCTTTTTTTTTCCTTCATCCTTCTTTTCCTTCCTTCCATTTTTCCCGAGAAGACACACATTTGTTACATGAACAGAAGCAGTTATATGGTATAATTATGTCATTCTTCTCCCTTTTTATCTTGCTCTTCACTACTCCTTTCTCTTAAAGCAGTCTCCCCTTACTGGTAGGGAACACTTTCAAAGGCTCCAGGGAATGCCTGATCAAACATAGTATTGAACCATACATACACACCATATTTTTTTCTATACCAATGAAAAAATTTAACTTTTAAATCAGACACAATAATAGATTAATAATAATAATGAATAACACTTCACAGACCTTGATAAAACAATTCAAAAATTCATTCCAAACAAGAAGAAACCAGAACAACAAAAGCAATTCTAAGTAACAAAGACAAGGTAGGGGGTTTCACAAACCCCCTACTTCACACTGCAAAGCTACTGTGATAAAAACAGCATGTTATTCACAGAGAAACAATCCTGAGGATCAGTGAAACAGATTGCAAGAGGCAGAAACAACTCTAGATGCACTCAGCCACCTCATAGTTGACAAATGATCCAAACACTTTTACAGGAGGAAAGATAGACGCTTTAATAAATGGTGTTGGAAAAACTGGGTTTCAACTTGCCAAAGATTAAAACCAGACCTATATCTCTAACCATGCATTAAATTAAATTCAAAATGGATTAAAGATCTAAATATTAAAAACCAATACACTGCAGGGCTGGTGATTTAACTCAGTGGTGCCGCCACACATCTCCCAAGTGCAAGGACCTGAGTTCAATCCCTGGCACCAAAAAAATGAATAAATAAAAAATAAAAGAGAAACAAAACCCAGACACACTGAACTGTCTGGAAGAGAGATTAGATAGAACCCTTGAAGACATTAGTGTAGGAAAAGAGTTTATGAACAAAACCTCAGTTGCACATGAACTAACACAGTCAACAAGTGGGATCTCTTCTTATTAAAAAGCTTTTTCATAGCAAAAGAAACCACCAAAAGCACAAAGAGACAATCCACAATGTGGGAAAAGAAGTTTCACCAGTTTTTCAGACAAAAGTCTACTATCTAGAATATAGAAAGAACTTTAAAAAATTAGACCTCCCAAATTTAAACACCCAATCCAAAAATGGGCATCTGAAATGAAAAGACATTTTTCAGATAAAGACGTAGAAATAGCACATAAACATATGAAAGAATGTTCAACATCACGGGTCATTCGAGAGATGCAAATGAAAACACTGAGATTCCACCTCACCCCAGAAAGAATGGCTGCTATCATGAAATCAACCAAAACCAAATGTTGGCAGGGCTGTGGGGAGAAAGGCACCCTTCTCCATTGTTGGTGGGAGTGCAGACTGTTGCAACCACTGTGGAAATCAATGTGGAGATACCTCAAAGAGCTAGGTCTAGAGGTCCCATTTAACCCAGCTATTCCTCTGCTGGATGTCTTCTCAAAATAATTAAAAGAATTGTACCACAGTGATATATGTGCACCCCTGTTCATAGCACAGTTTGTAATAGGTGAAACTTGAAAACAGCTCAATTGCCCAACAACTGGAGACTGAAAAAAGAAAAAAAAATTACTACTCAGCCATAAAGAATGAGAAATTAGAGACATTTATAGCTGAATGGATGTACACTAATGCCATATACTTAAGTGAAATAAATAGGACACACATGTAAATACTAAATAGTTTTTCTGGTGTGAGAAACTGACAGTGCAAATAAAGATCAAAACACATAATAGATAATGTGAAATAGGAAGAAAAGGCCCAAAGGGGAAGGGGATCTGACAGCTGACAGTGCAAATAAAGATCAAAACACATAATAGATAATGTGAAATAGGAAGAAAAGGCCCAAAGGGGAAGGGGAAGTGGGAAGGGTAGGGAAAAGGAAATAAGGAAAAGAAATAAATATGAGAAAAGAAAAAAAATGGAAACAAAATCTTTGCAAATGGGGAGGGGTAGAAGGATTGATCTGAGGGGAGTGGAATGGGGAAAAAAATCAGAACCAAGATGTATTATGTAAAAGTCCAAATTCCCAATAGTGAATGTCAGCATATTGTATACCTAAAATGCACCAAAAATTAATGAAAAGCATTATAGCTAATAATGAACTACAATATTTCGAGCACCATACCATTATAAAAGTGATTTAAAACTTAAAAGTTGTTTATTCCTGAAATTTCCACGTAATATTTTCAGACTGTGGTTGACCAAGGGCAACTGAAGACATGGAAAGTAAACATGAGGTTGGTGACCCTGCTGTGCAGACCTTTTCCCCCGTGAAAGCACTCTCCTCACCTTGTCATGACTGTCTTTCTCACTGCCAGGATTTCTGTCTTTGACACCTGTTCTTCCTCACCCTTTTCTCTAGGCTTTTGTCTAGATCACTAAATTTACATAGTCTAGCTAGATATCTTTATATATCTCTCAAGAAATTCATATTTCAATGCCAACTGTCACCAAAATGTTTGTACCTCTCCCATGAACCTCTGCCATTTTACAGAAACAGAATGTTTTTAGGGATGGGTCAGCCGGTCTCTCGGGATGGACGTCTCTGGACAGGCCACGACAACCGAGATCGTTACAGCTCCCGATGGTCTTCCCTTTTGCATTTTCTCTGAATTCTCTTTTTTGCTAATCAGCTACTTTTCCGAGGGCATTTTAATTTCCTTTCATTTTCTTCTAGAACGTGTTTACCCCAAAGATCTAAAACTCATGCATACTTAGGCAGAAGTGACTGATAATGATTTACAGCGGTGTCTTTGTTGTACTAAAGTCAAGGCTGTGTGTGTGAACCACAGCCCATAAGCATAAGGCGAGTGCAAGACAAACTTCCGGAAAGAAGGCACTATTCATTTTCAGGAATAGAGACACTTATAGTTACATCCTGGTTCATATCAAAATATAAGTATTATGGTAGCTTAAATTATTCTGTTATATCAAATAATCTTGTATAAATGTTTTATTTAAAGAAATTTCAAGTTTCAATTTTATTAAACAGATTTTCTATTGTTAACTATCAATCTTTCCTTCACTATAAAGAAGGCATACTATGTCAGCTATGTTTAATATCAAAAGTGCTTAGATCATAGTTTTACTGCAGTAATTTTTGTAGTTCTATCAAAATAAGATTCTCAAAAAATACTCGCTGAAACTCAAAACTGTGACATCTTCCTCTCATTAGTTATTTTCTTGTTTTCAGCATGTTATTTGTACGGGATTATGGTGCAAAGTAGAAGGTGAGAAAGAATGCAAAACCAAACTAGATCCACCAATGGATGGAACTGATTGTGACACTGGTAAGGTAAGTCATTAATAAGAAAATCACCCAAAACTTGATAAATTTGCATTTTTTCTTGCTGGTTACATAAGGATCCAACATAATATCTGTACAATAATGTCAGTGTGTATAGAAATGCTAGTATCTTATATATATTTAATTTAAACTTTTCTGATTTTTTTCAAATATGGTAGTTATGTTCATATTAAAGTGGTGTAGTTTTATTTTTAATTAATTTTACTGGTGCATTTTAGGTATACAGTATATTGACATTCATTATTGGCAATTTGTGCCTTTACATGGTATATCCTGGTTCTTATTTTTTTCCCATTACCCTGCCCTCTCTTCAACTCCTCTGTCCCTTTCCATTTACGAAGCCCCCAAATGTATCATAGATGGTGTGAAATAGGAAGAAAAGGTTCAAAGGGGAAGGGGGAGGGGGAGGGGTAGAGGAAAGAAAAAAGGGAAAGAAATTAATATGAGAAAAGGAAAAAATATAATTTTAATTTTTGTTGTTTTAATGTTTAGTGTCAGGTAATATGTATGTACTTTCACAAAGTAGTAGATTCATCTTTTTACTATTTAAATGAGATAGAAGTCATATAATAATATAAGTAGTAGAACTTCTCAGGGCACTTTTGAATCTTTTCTGATATACAATAATTTCTCTGGAGAGAATCAGAGTGCACAGGTTTTCCTTGGCAATATAAGCATCATAACTGAAATGTTAAAATAATCTTTAAAGATGAATAAATATTTAACTAAATAGTCTAATTTAATATGCTTCCTACAGCTATCAGAATTTGTTAGTGTGTACATTTTAAGATAAAAAAGACTGCTGTTGTATAAATGGTTTTCCTTCTGGAAGTATGAAATAGATGGATCTTATATGCACTTAAAATTATGGTTAATTTAATAAAAAGATAGCAGGTTAATACTTTACAAACTTTTTAATTTGTATACCATGACCGTACTATGTAATGGTTCTCCACTCAGTGACTGGATTAGAAATCTTGCCTCTGAAGAGTACAGAGGTTTATCACATTTCAAAATAAACAGCAACATAATAACTACAATTTATTTGTTTACTTACATAAGCAAGTCATATAGTAAATCATGTACTAATTTTAAAACAATTTGAAAAATTCAAGAAAATTGTCCTAAGTATTAAATATTTACATATTCACACCCTTGCTCACATGCAAAGATGCCTATATTAAAATGTAATTTGCCATGGTAAGAAATGAAAAACAAAAAATATTCATAAGGACAGGAATGGTTACAATATATTTTTTAAAACTTAAAAAATGTTACTATATTCTAGTTGTCTTTCTCTCTGTCTTTCCCTCCCTCTCTCTTGCTCAAGATAATGCTGTTAGCACAGGCATGTCAGAAGAACTAATGCCCTGTGACACCACTGGAGATTTAAGGACAATCTAGTTTGTGTACTAATTGGAGTGCATATACTCACATAGTATTCATTGTAAAATGTCTGGAAAATTGTTTGATGCTGTAAAGTCCCAGCTCTCTCTAGCACATCCCACCTTAGGAGGGTTAGAAATGACGGACGGCAGTGAGGAATGTGGGGGTGTGGATAAATGCAACTTTTCTATAAATATTTCTGGGTCGTCTAATATCAGCACATATTTTTTATTCTATCTATGATTTCTTTAATTTAAAAAGAAAAATTGACAAATTATTTCAATTAAAACTCTTTTTTAAAAGACTAGAAATTTTATCACTCGCTCCTGTCAATAGGAAAATGGTTCCTTGGAAGAAACTTCTGTGAAATGTCAGTCCGTTGTTCATAGCCTGTGCCAACTATTTTTCAGTGAGCTTAGATGAGAGTCAGTGTTTCCATTTGTTCTAGTTTTTACTTAAATTATACACAGAAGTACAACAATGTGTACATATCAGGCAAGTCTCACAACCCTATGCTGAGTAATGTATGGCTTAAATATAAAATTACACAGATAATAATTTTCATTATCCTTGAAACACAAATGTAGAAATTTACAGAAATAACCAAATATTCAACCATTAAGTCTTTAAACATCACACAAGCCATTTATCTTCCGTAGTATTTCTTTAGCAATAAAAACTCTCTTCAGTTTTATAATCTAGCATCCTAAATATTTTCCCGCTATGATTTTCCCCATATTTTTTAGGATAATTTGCATTCTTGAGATCTGTAAAGTAGATTCATTCTTTTAGCAATCTAAATTGTAATCATCAAAGGTAAAATGTTTTATTTCCCACGATTATGTTAATGACAATCTTTTAGCGGTTCTGTAATGGTTTGTGCATTGAAATAACTAATGTACCTCTCAGTTCTTTGCACACGGGGGCTCCCTCACATGTCCCAGTGTTCCAGCTGTTGTAGGAACCATTGCCTAAATAGTGTCCCACAGTCTGATTTGGGGTGTGGTAGTGCTAAATTATCTGTATCCTCACACTAACTACTGCTAGCTTGGTGTGCTGCAAACCAGGAATCAAAGCTGGAATATTTTTAAATTTTGCAACATTCCCATGATATTAAGCTGTGCATACCTAGTTCATCTAACATAGAATTCTATGATTCAAAATGATTTTGAAGATAGGGCTCTGTACACTATTTATAGACATCATCTTTTCAAATTAAAATCAACATGTCGTTTTCTCCTTTTCTCTTTACATTATCATCTATCTTTATACATTTCCTTCCATTTTACAGTTCACTGTCCAAATGTGAATGTGCTTACATTTCTGCTTAATGAGATTAAAGAGTTGATAAATGAGCTAATAAAAGCCAATAAATTGTATATGTGTATTATTACTCTTGTACCTACAGTATTTATTCAGAATAGATGCCAGAAGAAAGTGAAGTAACACTTTGATAAGATTGTTTTTTAAGGGATTTATATGACAGTTTGGTTCAGTTATTTCTGTTCCTATATTGAGATTCTTGTAACTGCTGTCATCATGAACTACTGGAAATACTGAGGAGTGCAGTTTCCTGACTGTCACAATGTGTGCACGTAAAGCGCGTTTTACCTTCCTTCCTTTCCCTTTTTCTCCACTATGTGTATAAGATGTGCTTTAAAAAGTACCTATCAGGTTACTTTGATATCTTCATACCTTCATGACCCTCTTCTAATTACATATTGTCATAGGCATGTCCACAGGAAAAAAGTGGTAGGATAGAAACATAACCAGATATTTTTAGGTCATGTACTGTCCCAGAAATAGTCAATAGTATATGATCATTTAGCATTTTTATAAATCAGATGAATTTGTAAATGAGACAAATTTAGAGATTTTTTAAATCAGGTGTGAAACCTCTTTTGAGGCTAAACTTATACAAATGTGTCATAGAAAACATGATACTAACAAATTTATGGAAAGAATCATTGTTTATTTTATATGCAAATCCAGGGGAATGTATGATATAATAATTCAAACAAAAACATTTAGTGCTCCTCAGCATTGGAGCACACCACTACCTAGAAGACACAAAGTCAGGGCCCCATAGTTTAAGTCCAAGTTGGTGAACTTTAAATATTATGCAGTCATTCTTTACGTTTCTCTGTTTCGTGTGGGCAAATTGGCTTATATGTTTGTTTCTATTTTTCTTCATCTGCCGAATGAGTAGTTTAAATTACGTACACATCTAGACCCCACTCCTTCTCGGAATATTTTTAGTTTGTTATGAACCCTACCCTAGCCTTTCAGTGCCTTCTTGGTGCTAACTGGACAAGACGCTCTCTGAGAAAACAAACGCCTGTCAAGTGGGACAAACTACCATGACCGATTGTGGTTTTACTACTTTCAAATGGGGTGCTTTTCCAGAAATGAATGGCGTGACGGTTAGGGTCTTACAACCACGGAGTGATGCCAAACTTTTACAGGGCTACTTTTCCTCCTCTTCCAACTTTCAGACTGAAACTTCCTAGAAAATTCCAGGTTTTTTAATGGAGATTGGAGCACGTCAATACACTATGAGTTGTTGAGGTGTAGTTTTTCAAGCTTAAATGTAAAACTTCTTGTATCCAAAGAAGTTTGAGTTTAAATTTTGACATCTTTAGAGAAACATATAGGAACTATTTTACTGCATAAAAAGTTTACTGAGTTCAAATAAAATGATATCATACCACTTCTAAATTCCCTCTTTTAAAAAAATGAAAAAAATCTATTTTCAAAATAAATTTTAAGTGAAGCTATGTAATGATCAATAATGATCAGAATGAACAGAAGTTTTGTTAATTTTTTATTATAGTTAACCCCTATTAAATCCTTATTTATTATGCTTAATGGTTCATTCAAACCATGAAAATAGCATCTACAAGGTAAATAAGATTTCATTCACACCTTAGGAAAAAACAAAGGTAAGGGTCAGAGCATTGCTACAATTTTTCTTTCAGTCCTTTTTAAATATTATTGCTATTTCATACAGAAAATCATTTATGGTTAGGAGAATCAAGTTGCTCAACCATATTATTTGATAATCACTAATTTTTACTTACTCTCAACATGATTTTTTGTTACCTTTAGAATGTCTGCTGTGACAATCTTCCATCTGGTTTCCTGTCATATCCTGGCAACCATTCTTTGATGACTATAGAAACAGTCTTTCTTGCCTACTTTTGTTCTGAGTCCAGGAAAAACAAAAATTAAAAAGATAATGATTACACTCCCTTCTCTTTCTGCATGGTAGCTGTCTTTGCTATTTTTTCCAGTTAATAGATGCTACATGAGTTACAGATTAATTAGAATGAAATAACATAATTTCAGTATAATTGCTCAAGTTTTTCAAGCATCTTGACTTTCAAAAGAGTTCGCTGTAAACGTTTAATGCATGAACTTGGTGAAAATTCAGAAAACAGAAAGTGTACAGGATGGTGCTGAAATCCAGTGTCACAGTTACAAGGAAAGATAATACCTTTAAGCACTAACATTAAAAATCAAAACTGCTGCATTTACTGAAATCCCTGCTTCAGCTTAGTTCTAGAAGGACTTCTTTTTGTCCTTTTAAAGTATTCATTTCTCAGAATGTGTCAGTTTTTTCTGTTTGTACAGCCTGAAATCTCCTCTCCCATCCTCTTCCCCCTATCTCCATGACAAATACTGAACTCTCAGCGTTACAAAATAAGTCTCTGGGGTGCTTTCATGACAAGACTTACTTATTTCTGGAGCTTCGGCGTTATACTACAATGACAGAGAGCAAGTGCAAACTAACTTTTGGTCTTTTTTTCCATTCCACCTAATTTGGGCTGCATGGGGACCTCATTTACTTGCATTAATTCCAGTGACTGTATAGGCCAGTGAATGATTTTCAGTTGTGCCCTGATTTGTTCATCTAAGACATAACTTTTGGAATAGTGGTGTAAGGCTGGCGAGTGTACCAGCAGGACCTCAGCACCTGAGCATCTGGCTGGAGAGTGGAGCGTGTGGAGTTCCTGTAGCCGGACCTGCGGTGCCGGGACCAGCAGCCGAGAGCGCAGATGTCCAGGGTAAACTAAGTTTCTGCACGGGGGAGGACATTTTTTCTTTAGTTTAGAAATAACAGATATTGTACCAATAAGCCATGTTATAAAGCACAAAGAGCGACTCAAACTGCACTGCTTTGGAGAACAACAGATTTCCTCAATTTGCCCATTTTACACAAAAACTCCCTTTTAAGAAGAAAGTAGAACTGAGACCTTCTAATAGCAAAGAAAACTACAAAAGGTGACTGCTGGATAAATCAAATGTTGTATTTAAGGAAGCAGGGAGATACATATTTGAAAAATTAGGTGACCATTAAAGATACTATGAGAAGAGGAGGAGATGACAGGACTTCAGAAAGACAAAGAATAAGAACATAACTGATGGCGATAAGAGCTAAGACGAATCGAAAACAAAAACACACTGAACACATGGAGACAGGAATTATTACAGCATCAGCTTGCTCGGTGCCGTCGTCTTAGAGAGGTCCTGGGGAAGTGAGGCAGTAAGTTCGCCTGGGTGCTTACAGTTCAGTCACAAGCAATTTTAAAGAATGTATTTGAAATCATATTTAAGAATTCTAAGAACCATACTTCTTACGGAAATTTCAAGCTTTCTGCTTGACCCTCAAAGCCCGCCCTACACTCTTACAGGTTCTTTTCCATAGCCAGTTGGCTTTGACTCCTCAAGTATTTTGGAAGATAAATTGATTAAGCATTAAAAATATTTTTAAAATTAAACATGGATTTCTGACTGTTTTAATGTAGCCAACCTTTCACAGGTAGATTTTTTTTCAGCTTTAATTGAGTTTATTGGTACATTTTAGGGATACAGTAGTTACATTCATTGTTGGCATCTTGTACCTCTACATGACAAGTCTTGGTTCTCATTTTTCCCCTTGTCCCTGCTCAAAGGTAGATTTTAACGTAAGGAGTATATGCTATTAATATAATAGTTCTTTAGTTTTATAAACTTGTAATTTTTTTAAAGTAAAATTTATTATTTGTGCTATCTTTCCTAGGCTGGGTTCTGAAACAAGGGATTGTAATGGTCCCAGAAAACAATACAGAATTTGTGAGAATCCACCTTGTCCTGCAGGTTTGCCTGGATTCAGAGACTGGCAATGTCAGGCCTATAGTGTTAGAACTTCGTACCCAAAGCTCGTACTCCAGTGGCAAGCTGTGTTGGATGAAGGTATGACCGGCCAGAGCAATACCCTCTAATAAAGTGCATTTCTAGGTTTGCAAAGTATTTTATAACAATAGTGTTACTGGAAAGATTATTTTCTAGACATTTGTAAGCTTTGTTGTTTAGACCTTTAGAAGCTTCTAACAACCTGAGGCATTAAAAAATTATGTGTCAGAAACGTAGTGAGATATTATACATGCCTATTAGAAAAACTAAAATAATGGTGATGTCAAGTGCTGGTGGAGAGGAAGGCAAATGGAATCTTTCAGACCTCATTGCTGAGGGAAGATAAAACAATGTGGCCACTTTGGAAAACAGGGGGGCAGTTTCTTGTAGGAATAAACATACATTTAACATACAACATAGAAATTACATTTCTAAACGACAGAATACCGCTGGATCATGAAGAGCTGTGGATTTATGCAGCAGCATGATGAATCTCAGAGCATTACGCTGAGTGACAGATACCTCCGTCAGAAGGACACATGTTGTATAATTCCATCAGGATAACATTTTGAACTGAAAAACATTATAGAGATAGGAAACAAATGAGTTGTTTCCGGGGATTGGGATAGTGTGGAGGGCAGGGATGGGCATTACTAGAAAGGGAACAGTTTAACATCTTAATTGAGGCAGGGGTTACACAAATCTGTACCAGTGATAAAACGGAATAGAACTGCCACGCATGAAGCAATGCCAGTTTCCCGCATTTGCTGTTATGAGGTAGATGCGAAGAGAAAAGTATTGGGGAAACTATATGAAAAGAGTAGGACTTCTTTTCGCTAATTTTGCAAATGAATACGATTCTGAAATTATTTTAAAATAAGAATTTCCAGAAAATCAATGCTGCCTCATGGGTTAAGAATGGCAACACTCTCCAGTGGTGAATGGCCTGGAGGTTTGAGTTGCAGTTGCCAGAATTTATGGTGGATTTTCTAATTGTGTTGGCCGTTATGCCACTTGACTCTAGTTCATACCTGCCACTTAGTCCATTGGATTGTGAGTACCATCATTCCAGTAACATTCCTGTCGTGAACCTAAACTTCATTGGTGCTCATTTTAAGTGGCCCCTTCTGATGAAACCCTCCCTCTGTTTAAGCCCCTGAGCATTCATGGAAACAATAACATCTGGAGTAGGCAGGAGAACATGCCAGAGATACAGTAAGTAGGGTGATTTGCTTTTGTGTCCTGGAAACCCAAGTACTGAAGTGTTTCCAGAAGCAAGGCCTGATCACACATGTAGATGGGCCTGGGAGTCAAGCAAAAGAGGAGAGAAAAGCGTTTATTACATCCAGTGTCCAGGTGACTCCTGGATGACAGCGGGGTGGGCCGTGTCAGTGTAATCAGACTGAAGGTCAGTAAAGGGGTGGAACCTTACAACTTTCTGAGAAAAGTAGCTGTGAGCGAGGAATGAGTGAGTCCACCCCTCAAGGTGCTGTGATCAAAAGTCACTGTGAATGATAAAAAACAGGAGCAATTCAAGGTATAAGAAAATGTAGAGGTAATCAAAACATCTAGGGAAGAGGAAGTTAGGGTGCCATCTGAGATGCGGTTGGAGGATGAAAGTTGGGAAGAGGAGTGATAATTCTGCTCTATGGTAAACGCCAGATCAACATGACTGTGGATAGATTTAACTAAAGCGGTTCATATCAGAAAGGCGAGGTGGTAATCATCTGATGGCTTTTTAAAACCCCATGGTGTCATGGGATAATCTATCGTGTATGGTTAAGGATGTCGAAGTCCTTCCTTACATCTAGCTTCTTGACATATGTAGTACATTATTGCTAGGTATGTTCACGTTTTGTGCAATGATACAGCAGAACTTCTTGCTTCTAAGTATAACTTAATGCACATCCATACATCTTTTTCCTTTCTTCTCTGCTCCTACTCTCCATGGCCTTGGTAACCAGCATTCTACTTTCAACGCCTATGAGATCAACAATTTTACACTGCACATGTGAGCAAGATTGTGCCTGCCTGTGTCTAGCTTATTTCACTTAACATATCATTCTTCAGTTTCATCAGTGTTGTTGCAAATAACAGCATTTTCTTCTTGATGATAACCGGATAGTACTCCATTGTGTATATGTGCACACGTTTCCTTTTTTAATTCACAATTTAGGTGAACATTAAGGTCACATCCACCTTAGAGAATTTGTACCTGTACACGATACATCGCGGTTCTTATTTTGCCCTCTTTCCCCTTTTCTCTCTTCTACCCTTTAACCCCTCCCAATTTACAGAAGCTTCGTTTCAATTATTTCCTTTTTTTTCTCGTTTTTTTATTTCTCTTCTTTCCTCTCCCCTACCCCCCTCCTTAGCTCCATTTTCCCTTTGAACATTTTATTCCAATTTCATATTATCTGTTATACATTTTAGTCCTCGTTTGCACTTTGTTTCTCACACCACAGAAACAATTCCATATTTACACATGTGTGTCCTATTTATTTCACTTAAGGGTAGTTGCAAGGTGCATTCATTTAGCTATAAATGTCTCTAGTTTATCTTTGTTTATAGCAGAGTAGCACTCCATCTTATAAAAGAACCACATCTTTTTAATCAATCACTAATTGATGGATACTTTAGCTGTTTCTGAGATTTAGCTATTACAAACTCTGCTGCTACACACATGGGCATACTTACATCACTGTGGGAAGATGCTTTTCATCCTTTTACGAAGATATCAGGAAAGAGGATGGCTGGGCCAAATGAACCTCCAGTATTAGCTTTTTGGGGAAACTCCACAGTAGCTGCACCACCACCAACTCCCACCAACAGTGGAGCAGGGTCCCTCTTTCCCCACAGCCCCACCAGCATGTGTTATTGGCTGATTTCTTGGTAGCAGCCGTTCTTGCTGGCGTGAGGTGAAATCTCAGCATTTCTTCATCTGCATCTCTCGAATGACCAGTGATGTTGAACATTCTTTTATGTTTATGTGCTATTTCTACTTCTTTATCTGAGAAATGTCTGTTTGTTTCAGATGCCCATTTTTGAATTGGGTTTTTTTTTTTAATTTGGGAGGTCTAATTTTTAAACGTTATTTATATATTCTAGATAGTAGACCTTTGTCCGAGGAACAGCTGGTGAATTATTTCCCCCACATTGTGAGTTGTCTTTTCAATCTGTTGGTGGTTTCTCTTGCTGTGCAGAAGCTTTTAATAAGAGATCCCAGTTGTTAACTCTTTGTAATCTTTCCTGTGGAACTGAAGTTTTGTTCATATAATTTTCTTTTT